GAATTGGTGAAAGTATTTGCGAATCACAAATATTTTTTAATGAAACGAAGGGGAAACGCTTAAAAGTATGACGGTGCGTATCCGTCATATGACGGTATATTCAGGTGCGGCGTCTTCTATAAACGCACATTGTTTGAAATCCGATATTTAGGAAAGTATACGTCATATTCCTTTGAATTTTTTCAGATCTGATTTGAAATAAATAAAGCTTCCATTATGTATAATTTTGTTGCTTTACGTCGATTTATAGCAATTTTATCAAAGTTGTGACATTACTTTTGGATCAACCCTCGTATTCCTATGTAAAACTTTGATCAGCCATTGTGGCCCCACCCTACCCCCGGGGGTCATGATGTGAACCAACTTGAATCTACAATTAGAAGATTTTTTTAAATGCCATTAATTTTTCTCTAATTCATAATTATCCCCCCTTGGAAAAGGGCGTGGCCCTTCATTTGAACAAACTTGAATCCCCTTTACCCAAGAATACTTTTAGCAAGTTTGGTTGAAATTGGCCCTGTGGTTCTTGAGAAGATGAAAATGTCAAAAGTTTACGACGACAACAACAACGACGACGGCAGACAACGGACAAATTTTGAAAAGCTCACTTGAGCCTTCGGCTCAGGTGAGTTACAAAACCAAACAATGTAGACCGTATAATCACTATACATGTTTCGTGTTCACACTGTAATACATTGCGATGTCGACAATATATCGATTTGATAGAGTTGGACATGAACACATAGAGATAGTGATCTTGAATTGCACATTTCATCAATCATAAAATTAAGAACAAAAAATAAATAACAGAACATAGATTTTAAAAAAGAAATTATCTAGATAAACATTTTTAATAGTGTGCTTATATATGCAATTTCTTGAATTAACTTTGACCATAAGCAAGATTATTTATCTAGTTGTAATTCAGGTTTTTTTTTAATTTACCCGTTTTAACATTCATACATGTATGTTAAGGATTAAAATGAGGCATTCCAATTATTTGATAAATTGTCAAATAGGCTATGGGAAGTACATGTAGATTTATATATATTCAAGACCTTTTTATGACAGAAAAGGAAATTTTATATTAAAATGCTTAATATTAAGCAACTGTCGATATATGCTACTGTATTTTACTTGAACTGTACTACTAGGAGTCCAGGCTTTCTCAATGAAAATTTATCTAAGTCTATGTATTCATAGCAAAGGAGCAGAATGAAGTCATAGAAAAAAATTTAACGCATCTGCAGTAATAAACAGTAATTTTATTTACCCCAGGTTTCTTCAGAAAAATTAATTAATATTCTAATGTTTTTAATATGACATGTACATGTGTATGCTTCAGTATATATGTTGATATCACAAATATTAAAAGATATCAAATGCCTATACATGTAATTACATTACATTTTAAAAACAAGCTACCTTCAACTTTTGTTTTGGTCCATAATTTACATGTACAAATATGAGGTAAACAGATATTTGCAATATGGAATTAATTAATTATCTCAAAGCCTTAAACAGAAAAAAGCATCCTTTGTAATTTGCATATTTCTTTAAAAAAAAATAAAACAACGTTCAATGCCCACATTGAAGGTAAATAATTTCGATGCTTTCTTTCAAAATTTACATATACATTCAGTGTCTACACATGTACATTCTAAGAAATACTAGCATTATAAATAAAAATTATCAATATTGTATTTTAAAATATGTACCTTATGTCAATATTACATCAAAGAGACTGGAAGAAAATCAGAAGGCCATGGACTTCACGTTTTCTTTTGGTTACAAATTGATACAAATAAAGATCTCTTTATCTTTCACAGTGCACACAGTTAAATGTTCTGTAAGACTTGTTCTACTCAGAACCTTTTGATATAACTCTTATTATCAGTTAAAAAATGATTTTATATGATTATTTTTATTCATTTACATACTAATTTTATTATAAATATAAAATATTTTCACATATGGTCTTTGACTGAGGTAGAGTTTTATACTAGTAGTTGAAATCAGATCTTGTTTACATACGTATTTTTCATGTGCATTAAACATAGGATTTCCCATAAGTTGTGGTTGAATAAGATTTTTATCCAGAATTTTTTACTTTTTTTTATCTCTGAGTAATTTTGATGGGATAAAACAGGCAAGATGAATAAAAATAAAAAATAAAAACCAGAAGTCTCAGACAGGACTGAACCTCTACTGATATGTACTTGAAACAAAGCAATTTGTCTTGAACCTAACACAGGAATAAAGAGAATAATGATCCTTTGTGACCTCTGCCTTTTTATAGCAATCTGACTGAAACTGTAAGAGGAGTGACCTTTTAATGAGTTTTGCAGTTATTTTTATTTATAGTGCATGTAACCATAGCAAAACTATTTATCAAAATCAAAAATCAATGAGTGAATATTTACATTTCCAATAAATCTCCCCTATGATTCTTTACAAAATAAAATGCAGTATATTTTCTCATGAACTACATTAGGTATGTATCACGAATAAGCATGAATATCTCCATTGTTACGTCATAATACCGCTCTTGATGTCAAAAAGTCAAAAAATATAGTGCACCCTGTTTTGTTTTAAAAATGACAGTTGAAAGGCGTAAATTTATGACAAGTCATCAGAAAAATAATGTAAATATAAGAAATGAATTTAATGTTTTGAAGATTCATGAGGTATATGAACTACAACGCTTCACGCTGGCATATTTATCATGATTCGCTAACGCGCTTTATGAAATATGCCGGCGTGAAGCATCATAGTTCATAACCTCATGAATCTTCAAAAATTAAATTCATTTCTTAAATATTTGTTTCAAATACTAGTAGTTCAAAACATGACTTAATGTAGCATACTGTAATAATTTCACAGAAATGTCTACCTTTTTGTACATACACTATTCCATATGCTCTTCTAGTCTCTGATAAATAGAGCCAATGGAAAACCACAAACTATGGGAGACTCTTTAGTTACAATTCACAAACAGCTATTGCAGGTTTTACACAGTTAAATTAATTAATCCACTTTATGTAAATTTTTAACTTTAAGTCAGAAACAATTGTTATGTCCCTACTTTCAGATATAAAAACAATATCATATGACTGATAGACACTGTATAAAGGAGTAAACATGTGATAAGTACTTGTATAGAAGATTCATGACTGAATCATACCCACCAACATTTTGCCTTTGCAAGACATGTACCCTTTGAGTGTTTCATACAATTAATATTAATCATTAATGATATTCTTCAAAATTGATTTCATTAGTCATTTATACATTTTCTAGTAATTTGTGAACAAAATTTGTTGCATACAACAAGATAAAGTTCAGAGAGACAAAATCATTGAATGTTAAAATTAACTGATGTTAACTCATTTCTAACAAACAGGGTATAATTAACTTAAAATATTAATCATAACTTTTAAAATAAGGTATTCAATATAATAAGTAATTACAGTGATACATGTTTTATACTCATCACAAGTAAATTACAAGCTTGTACATATTACATATGATGAAAAACTAAACATCACTTGCAACTGGTGATATATATTTCAAGATGATTGTGAAAAGTACTCAGTACTTATAAAAAACTATAAGAGGATAAATATTGGCACTAAAAATGATAGGGATATATACATTGTAAATATGTTTGTATATAAGGAAAAAAGAACACCCAACAATTCAAAATAAAGAAAACAAAGTACAATTTATACAGATAAGTATTTTATCATAAGTATAAATTTAGGACCATCTGAATAATATGAACTCTTCGTTTTTGGATATATACATAGTTATAAAAGGAACATGTAGATAAAAAGAAAAAACAAAATACTTGTTAGACATGCAATTTTGGCCCCTTAACAAGTTTAAATAGTATAAATCAAAATTCAAGATAGTCATAAAACAGACATATACTTAATCAAGAACCACGAAAAGATTTGCTTTTATATTGGCTAATTAGCACAATTAAATATCATATATAATAAATCTACAATTTATACAATGACCTGAAAAGATATGAATTGTGGATTATAGCAATTTAAAGCTCTAAAAAGGATATCTGCACTTTAAATTGGCAATAAGAATGTAATCTAGAACTCTGTAATGATGCTTCAGAGTAATTTACATCTATATCGAGATGTTTATGATACACAATATCAAGGTAATTACAGCTTTTTAGAAAAGTATCATGGAATTCTACATCAATCTACATGTCAATATCATATATCTGCATAAATACGTACATCTTATGATTGTCTAGGTTTGCAAGGCAAACTTTAACAGGAATTAAATAATGCACCAAGAGGTTTCAAATCTAAATTACATCAACAGTAAAAAATAAATTTGTATAATGTAGATCTATAAACATAATAAAGTTTCCACAGTAGTTCTGTTCAAGCTATGTAGAAAAGCTTGGTCACCAGATAGGAAAATCTACAGTAGTTCTGTTCAAGCTTTGTAGAGGAGCTTGGTCAGTAGATAAAAAATCTATAGAAGTTTTGTTTAAACTTTGTGGAAGAGTGGTCACTAGACAGGAAAATAAACAAAAGTTCTGTTTAAATTTTGTAGAAGAGTTTGTCACTAAAAAATCTACAGTAGTTCTGTTCAAGATTTGTAGAAGAGTTTGTCAATACAGAGGAAAATCTACAGTACATGTAGTTCTGTTTAAGCTAAATGTAGATGAACTTGGTCACTAGAGATACTAAAATCTACAGTAGTTCTGTTTAAACTTTGTAGAAAAGTTTGGTCACTACATACGAAAATCTACAAAATTTATGTTCAAGCTAGAAGAGCTTGGTCACTAGATAGGAAAATGCTGGCCAGCAGTTTCTACAGATTCAATATAGTGTATGTCAGCAGTTTTATTTGCTATTTTCAAGACCTTGATCATCAGTAGATCTTGAAGATTTACAGTATAATTTAGGCCAGCAGTTTCTATAGTAGTTCTGTTCAGTCTATGTAGAAGAGCTTGCATGGTCAATAGATCATCAAGATTTACAGTATAATGTAGGCCAGCAGTTTCTACACAGAAAGTCTGTTCAGGCTTTGTATAAGTGCTTGGTCAGTAGATCATAAAGATTTACAGTATAGTTTCTACATTAGTTTTTACATTAACTGTACCACAGGGCATAGAAGAGAAGCTTATAATCATCAGCAGTTGATAATGATGTTTAACAGTAATTAGTGGCTTCTATAGAAGTTCTGTTCAGGTGAAGACCACGCTGCGTAGGAGAGGAGCTTGATCATTGTCCTCCTGCGGGGGGTGCATATTACTGTCCTCTGGGAGGGACCCTGACACCGCCCTCTTAACAGGGGACCTCTTCAGTGCCGGCTGGGATTTACTCTTTATCATTGCCTGATGGGCCTGTAAACGAAAAAATGAATCACAGTCATTTAAATTTCTATTTACAAAGCTACAGGATAATTAAGCAATTAATGATGAAAATTTATGAATTTGGTTATATGAGTGATGGATGTCTAAAATAAATGATAATCTCTAGCTTGCATTTAGGAAGCTGGTAATACAAAGCTCAGCATTTTAGCATTACATGTAATTTAAATTGATAGAATTTTGAAGCCATAGCCACATTAGTTTTTTTTTTCTTTCAAGCTTTGACATTTTATTAGTTATTAAGCAGTTTTACTTCTGAAAAATACATTCAAGCCAATATTTTCATCCACAGTCTTTTAAAAGTTAAAACATTTTTTTTTTTTTTATTTTCTATGACAATCCCTTTTTAAAAAGTAAGATTGAGATCAAAAGTGAGTTTTATGGCTCCCGAGCCAGGTCTGGTAAATACTGCAGTTAAATATTCTCAATAGAGTTTTTTCTCTACACAATGCTAAATGAATTATTTAGAAAACAGTTGTGAAGTGGTCATAAATCTATTCATTAAACACTGATCTTAATTTTTATTCTCAAAAGATTTAAACAGAAAAAAAATGAATTAAACATCACACATCAAACTGTGTTTTGAAAATATCAAAAAGATTATGTCTTAAAAAGTAAGTACCCTGAAACTACATGTACAATGTATATAGGAATGTGTGTACATGTATCACCTGTATATATTGAGCAAAAATTTTGATACATTATGATATGATAAAAGATATTTATCTGAAAGTTATGCTAGCATTACAGCTAGTAGCAATAAACATTGTAGAATCGGTTATTATCATCTACAATGGCATGATTTATGTAGTCTATAGAATACAGATGTATGACTGCAGAATCATAGGGACATTTTAACTAATGTTTAATTTTCATTCAATTGTTCTGAACCCATTTCTAAAGAATGATTATATCATAATTTAGGTCAAATTTACATTGGGAAGAAAATTATTTGGCAGTTTGACACAGTATCACTTTGCAAAAGCTTTTATGCATACACATATATTATATTTAGTTAATTTATGAAGAAAAATTTGCTAATTTTTTACTTATGTTAAGTAATTGTGCAAAAAATTAATAATTTTATTCTGGAAGAATCTACAGGTATATGTATATTAAAACAAACTTGAAATATAGTTTTAAATGATGGAGATCAAGAAATGTTAAATACAAAAGCTGGCCTGTCAATTGCAGATTCATAGAGATTTATAAGCTTATGCTTTCTAAGTATAAACAAAACATCAAATTATAACTGACATCATGCTATAAAGCTACTGGAGATCAAGGGAGACAACAGAGACCATATATAAGTCACCACTCACTAAATCATCTAACTCAGTTGGGTTACTGGCAGAAGGGAGATTACTCCTGTCATGTTCGAGGGAGTGAAGTCGATTAAGCATCTAAGTGTAAAATAATAAAGCAACTGTGTACATTGAGCTGGAATATCTTATAATTATATTCGTTCATTTTCACATAAAAGGTAGGGCATATTAAACAAATTGGGGAAGAAGAATTTTAAAGCAATATGAGATGCAAATTTGACATGGGAAAAAAATTTATGCAAATTTGTAATTAACTATTTCAATGATAGAAAAAAGAACATTTATATACTTCTGTTGTTCATATTTGCGATGGAAGCACTTCTTATAAGCTTTAATTGAAGCAAAATTACATTATTGTCGTCCTGTACTATAATGATTTCTTATATAGTGCTATACATTTGACTGAACAGAAACATTTCTTCTGAAACAATTTAAAATTTTAATTTGGTTTCATTGATCATAAGAGTTTGAATTACACATGAAACAATCATAATAACACATTTTTACAGCAAAATAAATTTCTAAAAAAATTTTAAAATGCAGCTCATATTGCTTTAAAAAATATATAGAAAACTTTTAATACATGTACCAAATAGAATTAAGGCAGAGACACATATAAAGGTAATTCATAGTATAAGTGTATTAACAGGTTTATACAAATTGTTGTTAATACATGGTAAACTAAAAGATTAATACATAAACCATCAAAAGTGACAAGAAGACAAAATGTTTTTCAAATGGATGAAAAAATTATTGCAAAAACATAATATGGGTGGATAAGAAATATTTAAGCTAACAACCTTAAAAAGAAAATAATTTTAAATTTGCATGAAAAAGAGGGTATATGTATATAAATCCAAGCTAGACTTACATTTCTCCTGGCCTTTGCCCTGGCGACCTGAATTCTTTGGTGGACATCTATGTAAACATCTGTCTCGTCAATTATCTCCTCCTGAATTAATTCTTCGATCACGTCTTCCAAGGTTATTATTCCAATGATCTGAAGAAAACAGAAATACATGGATGATGCATATTTATCAAAATATGATTACCGGTATATTTAAGTGTTTAATCATTCATATTCTTGATAGTATGTTACTATGATTGGCTTTATCAAACTCTCGCTAATGATTAAATCATTACCGTAAATCTGGAAATTTTTGCTGTAGATAAATTTTTAGCAAATTTGCGCGTGCATTGAATTCGCAAAAATATTTTTCTTAAAAATAAATCAACATGCGAAGAATTTTTTCTGAGAACTCGTGTCTTTTTTTAACTCAGTGAATAGGTGTCGGTAAGCACTGGTTATTTTTAAAAGAAACCTGTTTACACTAGTCTACTATAACTACAAGTTAATTACCCGTGCGTAAATTGCCCTCATTATATGCAATATCGTCCGATGATTTGACAAGCACTGAGGCGGTATGCCCCTTTTTAATTATTTTAATCAATTAATTTGCCAATAAAGAGAGAACTGTCATTTTATCTAACCGTGTATCAACACGGGCGACAACTCAAACTCAGTGCATTTACTAGAAAGTTCCAAATGTAAACGCGGCGTGTAAATTTTAGGTGAGAAAAACCAAACGTTGAGAAAATTAGTTATATTTTTTCTTCATTTGGATTATACTTGAGGTTAAAAGGCATATACAACCTCTAAAATGTTTGTTATAATTGACTTAGAAATTATTTTCAGTGCAAATCCTTTTGTATTTTTATCAAAATTGTTTCGGAGCGATTTTGCAATATCTTGCCACGTTGTGAGTACACTGGTGGTATTCTAACTGGGCATATTATTTGAAACATAACCTGATATGAAAATCTTCAGTGATTTTTATTTTTAGCACCAGTGACAATTCGCAAAAAATTGAAGCTTAAAAATTAATCAACAGCTTTTTGACCCATATTCGCAAAAATAAATCGACGTAAAAATTTCCAGATTTACGGTATTAAAACATGGAGTAATCTATCATAGTATAATGCAGTTGTGTGAACATAATACTTTAACATAATCACGAAATGAAGACAATGCATTTAAGGGGTGGGGGGCTTAATTTTGTAAATGCTGAATAGGAAAAAAAAATTCAAACAGTCATCATCCTAAATATTTGGTCATTAATTATCCACACCTCATTTGTCTCTGGCAGAAATTCCACTTCATAACCTTCAACTGTCTCTGTTATTTCTGTGTGTTTTCTCACAAATGCTAAGTGACCTGTAAAAAATAAAACAAAATCAAGTAACAAGAGGCCCAGGGGCCACACGCTCACCTGAGCACATCGGCTAGGAAAAAGCACATATCAGATCAGAACTGAAAGTTTACTGTGGTGGGGGGGGGCTTGAATTTTACCCCCCCAGGGGTTCATGATTTGAACAAACTAGAATCTACACTACCTGAGGATGATTCCATATAAATATCACTAATCATGGCTTTGAAGTACTAGAAAAGAAGATTTTAAAAGGCATCCATATATATCCCTATGTAAAACTTGGGAGGATAATAATACATAAGTTTTATCTTTTCTGGCCCAGTGGTTCTTGAGAAAAAGATTTTTTAAGATTTTTCCTATATCTTCCTATGTAAAACTTTGATCATCCATTTTGGCCCAACCCTAGCCCCTGTGGTCATGATTTGAACAAACTTGAATCTACACTACCAGTGGATGATTCCACATGAGTTTCATCTTTCCTGGTCCAGTGGTTCTTGAGAAGAAGATTTTTAAAGATTTTTCATATATATTCCTATGTAAAACTTGGGTCGACCATTTTGGCCCCACCCTAGCCCCGGGGGTCATGATTTGAACAAAAGTGAATTTACACTACCTGAGGATGATTCCACATGAGTTTCATCTTTCCTGGCCCAGTGGTTCTTGAGAAGAAGATTTTTTAAAAATGCCATTAATTTTTCTCCAATTCCTAATTATCTCCCCTTGGAAAAGGGCGTGGCCCTTCATTTGAACAAATTTGAATCCCCTTTACCCAAGGATACTTTGTAGCAAGTTTGGTTAAAATTGGCCCAGTGGTTCTTGAGAAGAAGATGAAAATGTGAAAAGTTTACGACGACAACGATGACGACAACGATGCCTACGACAACAACAACGACAGACAACGGACAAATTTTGATAAGAAAAGCTCACTTGAGCCTTCGGCTCACTTGAGCTAAAAAGTGAAAGCAAAGATTTTTTTTTTTATATTAAAAGGGTGCCTCTACAGTATAACATCTAATATTCCACGTAACTGAGATTACAAATGTCTAGCCCACAAATTGTAATCTTACCAAATGTAAAAAAAAAAAAAACAGAAGTCTCTGTCGAGACTGTAGCTCTACTGGTTTGACTGTAGCTCTACTGGTTTGTACTAATAACAAAGGATGAGAAAAGAAGCCATTGCCATCAGATCAAAACTGTAGGAGTAGCATTTAAAAGGAAATTTCACAGAAAATTCTATTTTTAGTAACCATGGCAACACCGTTCATCGAAATCAAAATCCAATGCACTTTTCTATGTATCTAGGTGTAGTCTACTTGTGTGCCAAGTTATATTGAAATCAGACCAAAACTGCAGGAGGAGTAGTGTTTTAAAGGAATTTCACAGAAAATTCTATTTTTAGTAACCATGGCATTACCATTCATCGAAATCAAAATCCGATGCACTATTCTATGTATCTTAGTGTAGACTACTTGTGTGCCAAATTATATTGAAATCAGACCAAAACTGTAGAAGGAGTAGCATTTAAAAGGAAATTTCACAGGAAATTCTATTTTTAGTAACCATGGCAACACCATTCATCGAAATCAAAATTTGATGCACTATTCTATGTATCTAGGTGTAGTCTACTTGTGTGCCAAGTTATATTAAAATCAGACCAAAACTGTAGGAGGAGTAGCGTTTTAAAGGAATTTCACAGAAAATTCTATTTTTAGTAACCATGGCATCACCATTCATCAAAATCAAAATCCGATGCACTATTCTATGTATCTTAATGTAGACTACTTGTGTGCCAAATTATATTGAAATCAGACCAAAACTGTAGGAAGAGTAGCGTTTTAAAGGAATTTCAAAGAAAATTCTATTTTTAGTAACCATGGCAACACCATTCATCGAAATCAAAATTTGATGCACTATTTTATGCATCTTTGTGCAGTCTACTTTTGTGCCAAGTTATATTAAAATCAGACCAAAACTGTAGGAGGAGTAGTGTTTTGAAAAATTGTTTACAGACAGACGGACAGACAAACAGACAGACAGATGGATGGACACCTTACTATCGCATAAGCTCTTCTGGTCTCTGACCAGTAGAGCTAAAAATCAAGTAATGACCAAATTTGATTACTCTACAGATATTTCTTGCATCGAATAAAAACTGGTTTTCATTATAGACTCCAGATATTTTTGATATCAAACAGTTACACTGTTAAGCCTCTTACTTTTTCCTGTTTGGAACATATTTAATAGATCATAGAGTGGCAAGTCATCATTGACGTGCATCAGGTTTGTCGTGCATTCATTCTTCAGTAGGTCTCGGACTGGGGTCTTATCCTCTGGGTTTAACATGATGTAGTTTTTTACCAGCAGGAGACCTACCACATTACTTGCATCATGTTCATACACAGGAACTCTTGAGTGAGCCTGATGGAGAATCTGAAACAAAATGCCACTATTGTCTTATATGTGCTTCAAGTATGCTGGAATAAATTTATGTGGAAATTTATTAGCTGCATAGAAATAAAATCAAAAGTACTTCTACAGTGAAACCAGGAAGCTAATCCAAATGGAATAATTTCCATGTACCTAATATGATTAGATAATTATGACAAACCTTGCACATAGTAGGTTTGTCCATCACTGCATCGGCATCAACCATAAACACGTCACAAAGTGGCAACATGGCATCCTTCACAGTTTTATTCTTCATGTCAAGGGCACCCTAAAATGAATCAAAGTTTCAATTTTCATGTCAAGGGCACTTTATAAAAGAATCAAAGGCTTTATTTTAAATGTCATGGGCTCCTACCAGTAAAAAATCAAGATCAAAATATTTCTCATTATGTCATGCTCCCAATCAAAAAAATGAAAAATCTTAGTTTTCACCCCATTGCATGGAGACACTTACAAAAATAGCAATTTAAGGATCACTTTCTAGAATCCTTTATGGTAAACATCTTCAGAATCCAAATGAATTTTTTTTTTGTCTTAACTGTTTCCTTTTTAAGGCCATCTGTACCTTTATTATTAGAACTTCATCAATGGTCAGAGGTTCATCATCATCCTCATCCTGTGTGTGATGTACATTGGCTTCAGAGTTAGGACCATGCAGATCTACGAGAACTTTGAGCTGGGCTCGACGGAAGAAAGTCCCGTGGTCCTCACCCAGAACACAGTCTAAGAGCTTGGACAATGGCCAGGCTATTATAAATAGGAGGGCCATCAGCAGGTACACAATGCTGTAGAAAGAAAGAATCATAAGACCAGTTGATGAATTTTTCTTGCATGTTGACATAATATATCATGCATGGGGGGCAGAAATATGCCACCTTAAAATATCTTTAAAGAACAATACATGTACCGGTACATGTATTCATTAAGCCTAATAGGGTGAGGTAAATATTATTCTTTGCAATTAATTAAATCAACTTGAGCTAGATTTTATAAAGCCATTGTGTAAAGTTTGCAACTGTTTCCATGTGTTTACTTACGGGGCTAATGTCGCACCAATGGCCAGTCCAAATCTTGTACAGATTGCTTGTGGAACAACTCTATAATTCAGATGTAATAATGTCTAAGTAATTTCTGAATGCTGCTTTCTCTAGCAACTACTTTTACTGATTATCCTGAATGTTCTATAACCCATCAAAAAAAAATAATAATAATAAACTCACATCTACAAAAATTTATTCTACATTATTTACAAACAAATATTTTTTTATGAAGCATACTTATTTATAATGTTAATTCAAATTAATCATAATTTTTAAAAAGTAAAGTTAACATGTTCTAAAATGAGACTTCACACATTTATCAAAACACAAAATGTATTATTGTCTTTAAAAAGTAGTGTCAAATTAATTTATCTTACTCATTGAACTTACTCTCCAAATATAAGTACAGCAGTGACTGAAACAAGAATGGCTATCACAGGACTAGAGATTCTGTCTAAGAAGATTGGCATGGCCTCCACCGCGGCAGCGTTAGCCAGCAGTAATGTGACCAGGAGCAGGTGGTGCCTCTTTACTATGGGGAGGATCTTCTTGGCCTGTCTCTGTTGTTTTGGGGTTCCCCCATCCTTCATTATTTTAAGGGTCATTAGATCCAAGGATAAAAGACCCATAGTTAACCCTGACATCAGCCCTGTGTAAATAAAATGTCATTATCATGTAACTAACATAAAGGATATTTTACCCCTTACCAATTGAAAAATCCTTTTAAAATAAAAAATGTGTCCTTTTATGCAATCGAAAAATCGGGATATTATAGTTATAATGCAACGTAGCTAAGCAATACAAAAAAAAAAATAATATTTTACTCAAAAATAAATTTATGAAATGATAAATTAAATGCATGCACGTACAACGAGAAAAATAACATTGAAAAATAAGTACTTCAAGCTGTTCTTTAAAATATAAATGCATAAAGTCATTTTATTCTAAGAGTGTTCTCAAGTGTAGTATTAATCAATTTCACCCGGAAAAGTGAAAGTAAGAGCAGAGTAAATTCGAGAACGTTCGTTATTACATGTATACCTGCAACCAGTACAAGACCCACGTAAATGCCCAGGTAAATCCAGAACCATTCATCGGTGTATGTGAGTGGTTCTTCTTCTTCAACAAATATCGTGCCATTGCAATCAATCTTGTTATGAAGCAATTGACACGTTATGTTCGTCATGACATCGGTACATGGGTGGTGGTCCGTGCTCTGTTTACATCAACTAAATCTTCCTTCCTTTGAGGAGAGTTTTCTATGCGAGTTGTCTTTCTTTCATTATAAGTTGTCGCAAAGTTTGGGACCCTTTTCTCCGATCTTTTTTAACTAATGTAAATAGTGTTGCATTATTACATTTTTGGTTTAATATTAACATAATAATCATGCCACATATTCTGAGTGCTGACCCCTACGCTTAAAAAAGTCCTTTGGAAGCAAAAATTATTTTTAAGGGGAGCGAGAGGCATCTCCAAACAGAAGAAACCACTAGACAAAATAGATAAAACTAGTGCTAATTGTAACGGGAACCGTTACAGATGTTCCCCAAACGCTCCCCAACTCCCTTTTGGTGCCATATTCCCAGAAAGCCTTATTAAATAAGACAACATCTGTGCATTTTTGACTTTAACAACGTTTTCCCAAAAGGATACCAATTATATTCAAATTTTAACATTGCACGCGTCCCCATGTGAATGCACGTGCATAATGATAATATAATCTTGTCTACACTTTCTATATATTAAAATTTACTTTATATGAAAGCATTAAGTCCAAAAGTATTAAAAATCACTCATTCAAGTGTATTTTCAATTTCACTCGTTCCAAATGCACGCACGTGCGTGCACGTGCATGATGACCATACCTTCTTGTAGGAGTCCCTTATATCTATCCATGTTCTGAATCCCATCCTGTTTGCTTGAAAAAGAAGGAAGTTATAGCCATTTCAAGTTTCAACCAATCAGATTGCAGCACACGTGCATGCGCGTGATTTCATGATTTTTTTCTATATTGCATTGTAGGATATCCTAATGAATAACTATGTTTTAAATGTCAAAGCATTTCGTCAAAAAACAAAAGGGATATGGCCATTTAAAGTTTTATCCAATCAGATTGTAGCACACGTGCATGCGCGTGATTTCATGATTTTTTTCTATATCGCATTGTAGGATATCCTAATGAATAACTATGTTTTAAATTTCATAGCATTTCGTCAAAAAACAAAGGAGATATAGTCATTTAAAGTTTCAGCCAATCAGATTGCAGCACACGTGCATCCACGTGATTTCAAGAATTTTTTTCTAAATCATATTGTAGAATATCCGAATGCATAACTTTGTTTTAAATTTCAAAGCATTTCGTCAAAAATCAAAGGAGATATGGCCATTTAAAGTTTCAACCAATCAGATTGGAGCGCACGTGCATGCGCGTGATTTCTTGAAATTTTTTGTATATCATATTGCAGGATATCCTAATGCATGACTATGTTTTAAATTTCAAAGCATTTCATCAATAAATAAAGGAGATATAGCCATTTAAAGTTTCAGCCAATCAGATTGCTGCGCACGTGCATGCGCGTGATTTCATGAAATTTTTTCCATATTATATTGTAGGATATCCTAATTCATGACAATGTTTAAAATTTCAAAGCATTTCGTCGGAAAACAAAAGAGATATTGAGATTTTTGTTTCAGCCAATCAGAGCAAGGCGCACGTGCATGCGCGTGAGTTCATGCTAATTTGATAGTGTCACATTATTAACACTTTTAATATATCCTTATGTAATGAGTTTTAAAGCATTTCATCAAAAAATGTAAAAGGTATAGCTATATTAAGTATATCAGTCAATTCACTCATTTCACGCGCACGCACGTGCAGGCGTATGCGCGCAAAATGACCTTCGTTCCGCACACCTACACTACACACCTATTAACCCTAAAAAGGTTTTAGCTCAATTGGGTGAACAGTTTCTGAGAACACTCGCGGACAAAAAAGTACCGGAGAACAAATAAGAAAAAAAAAAATAATAATAACTAGAAACTCTTGTTGCTACAGCAACAAAGAAGGTCTTCCGTTCTCCTCTATTAATCTGTATGCAGGATGTTTTTTTTCTATTTTAAAAAAGACAGATATATCATAAACTAGTAGACTAATTGTTCAGTGAACAATTATCGGCCTTTCCACCTTTTTTTAAGCATTTCAATATTATTTGGGCTGAAGAAAGTAGAAAAAAGCCAAAAAATAAATAAAACAGCAAAATTCTCATTTCTCTACAAGGATTTTAGATCGGACTCGTAGTTGGTATAAAAATACTCTAAACAGACTTCCTGGATTGTACGAGTCGACTCGGGGATAACCACGATTTCATTGATCACGCAAAGAGAGCGCGTTCAAAACATTGTAACACGCTCCTAGGAACATATATCAGCTTGAATGAGATTGTTTTCGAGTTAAGATGTAAGGGGTAGGGTCTGATTAAAATCATAATATACCTAATAATATGAATAAACATGCATTTGATCTGCGCATCAAGACGGAAGCGTAAGTGAAAACGTTGTGAAATGTCCCATGTGTACCTGCATCATATGTGCATTATACATGTATTAAAGAGATGTTTGAGAAATATCCGATTTGAGTTGTTTTATGTTTGAAATGAATGGCGATAAATTATTTAAGAGCATGTGAGAAACATGAGCGAGAGATGCAAGCCAGTTTGTAATTATAGAAAAGGAAAACAGAGAATCGGGTTCGGATTTTAATAATCCTGACCGAAATAGGTATGGAATATGTGTGTGGATTAAATTCATTGTAAGTAGCATAAATAAATTCCAAATAGGTATTTCTAGATGGGAAACACAGGGAACAAACGTGTATTGCTTTTTACTATGCTGAAAGTCGCTATTTCTTATAAGATTGTGTTATTCTAGAAAAAAAAAATCAAATTTCAAATGAAATCAAGATTAATTCAATTAATATTAAATCCAAAAAAAATTGAAATAAATTCCACATACCAAAGAAAGCTAGAATACTTGGTATTAAAATGTCGTATTAGAGCAGGAGAATCGAATGATATTAACAACAAATGAAGAAATAGCCAATGCAAGCTTTAATTCATTTTATGCCCATCAGAATTTAAATTTCAGACAGAAAAAAATGCAGTTTTTGCCGATATTCCGTAGAATTTCATTAAACTCAAGAGACTCGCCTTAAAACTCTTAGGACACTTTCTTTAAGGTGTCTTCTACTCAAATCCTTTATCTTATGTCGATCTGTGGTGTCTTTTCAGAGGAAGAAGTTTTTTCTATGTTGCTATTGATTTTTTTTTAAGGGACGGGAGGGGGGGGGGGGATTTCATAAGCATTTGTTAAAATGAGAGTTGTTAATACCTCCACATACTTAAGCTTGATTGTGACCTTTGGGTCAATGGGGTCAAAGGTCAAGGTCATTTATCAAGGTCAAAGGTCAAGGTCACTAAAGAGAAAGAGAGAGAGAGAGAGAGAGAGAGAGAGAGAGAGAGAGGTGAACTTGAGATTAACACTTGAAGCTGAATCTAGATAAAGGTAATGAACATTTCTTTATTACTTTTCGAATAAGGGTCAAAGGTCTCATTTTGAGGACAAGAAATCACGTGACCTGCAGAAAGTAAATTTTAAAAGAAGATATTTGAGGTTACTCTAGACATTTACAGTCTGAATAAAATGTCCCAAAATCATATCAAATACTTTCTTATAAAAGATATTTATGGGATAGTGCGATACTCAATTTATGCAATTTTTCTCTCATAATTGGAAGTCGTCGTTTTTCTTACCAGTGGGACTACATATCTCGAAACTACAAGTAAGATGCTATAAGGTAATACTAAGAAAGATTCCATTAAGAAAAATTTAAAATTTTGATTTATTTGATCACTTCCTGTGACAACCGGAAGTGACGGCGGACAATCTTAAACTCAAAAGATGTGTCTACTCATCAAGGCCTACCATCCCCATTAATTTGGTGTCTTAATCTCTTACTGCTTACGAGATCTAGCTATGATAACTTCTGATTTTGAGGACAGGAAGTCACGCGACCGGAAGTGAATTTTACTGAGATATTAGACATTACTGTAGACATTTGCAGTCTGAATAACATATCTAAAAATCATTACAAATACTTTAACTATAAAAAAATTTTAAGGGAAAGAAAGATACTCAAATTATGTAGTTTTCCTCTTTTAACCGGAAGTTGTCATTTTGTTTCCGTTGGGACTGATACATTTCGAAACTTCAAATAAGATGCTATAATGTGATGCAAAACAAGTTTAAAAAAAGAAAAGTTGATTTTTTAAAATTTCTTTGATAACTTCCTGTGATGACCGGAAATGACGGCAGACAATCTTACCCCAAATGGTTTTGCCTACATATCAAGATCTATTACTCATACAAGTTTGGTGTCTTAATCTTTTACTGTTTACGAGATCTAGCTATGATAACTTCTGATATTGAGGACAGGAAATCATGCGACCGGAAGTAAATTTTACTGAGATATTATACATTACTGTAGACGTGTGTAGTCTGCATAACATATCCAAAAATCATTACAAATACTTTATCTATTAAAAGTATTTATGGGAAAGAAAAATACTCAATTTATGTAGTTTTTCTCCCTGAACCGGAAGTTGTCATTTTTGTTTCCGTTGGGACGGATACATTTCGAAACTACAAATAAGATGCTATAATGTAATGCAAAAAAAGTTTCAATAAAGAAAAGTTGAATTTTTCGATTTCTTTGATCACTTCCTGTGACGACCGGAAGTGACGGCAGACAATCTTACCCTAAATGGTTTTGCCTCCTTATCAAGATCTACCACTTGTATAACTTTGGTGTCTTAATCTCTTTCCGTTTACGAGATCTAGCTATTATAACTTCTCATTTTGAGGACAGGAAATCACGCGACCGGAAGTGAATTTTACAAAGATATTTGACGTTACGGTAGACATTTGCAGTTTAAATAACATATCCAAAAATCATTACAAATACTTTATCTATAAAAAATATTCATGGGAAAGAAAAATACAGAAAAAGTGCAGTTTTTCTCTTATAACCGGAAGTTGTCGTTTTTGTTTCCGGTGGGACTGACATATTTCGAAACTACAAATAAGATGCTATAATGTGATTCAAAAAAAGTTTCATAAATGAAAAGTTGAAATTTTCGATTTCTTTGACCACTTCCTGTGACGACCGGAAG